GAAAATTCACGAGTACAACTCGATTTTCCGAAGATCTTCTTTCTTTTCATTAGGAACTCTGCATCGATGCACGTTTCTTGTAAGAGCGTTTCAGAATAGTGCACAGATATGAATATAGTAGGTGGAAGAAAGTTTTTAGTTCCAGCAAGGTGCGATTTGCCTCCCAGCATTTGTATATGTTCCTTTGTGCGTAGACCGCGGAGGGGGGCCCGGTGACACGTCTAGGTGCACTTTCAAGCCGCGCCATCTACTGGCGCGCGATCCCGCCTCCGGTCTTCCTGATTCTATCTTGATACCGGACTCAAGTGAAGGTAGCGGCGAAAGTGTGACAGGTGCCGCGCAAGTATATTACCATTCTAAACTAATCAACACCCAAGTCACCATCTCTTCATCCACTATGCTGTGGGGCATATGGTGAGCCTCGTCGGAATCGGAGGTCGAACTGTCATATGGGGCGGGGAGACACTTTTTACTTAATAATGCGATTCAATGCGCACGCAGTACTCACTTATTATTTCAGCCTTTAGTGTCCATAGTCGTGTGAGCGGCGGACTGCGACAACAGGCAGGAAGTAAAAAGGCGTAACTTCTAAACGAACGTCGGTATGCAGATGACAGGAGATCACGTCACACGGACCTCACCCCGTTGTCAGTGCTTAATAACATGACTCTGGACTCTCCTATTACCAAGGTATCATTGAACTTGAATATAGCTCTGAAATGGTCGGAATTTTGATTTTTTTTTCAGGCGACTCCCAAGCATGCAGACTCTCGGTAACGGCAACCTGCACGTTTCATCCTTCGGAATGCAACATGTGGGCATCTTTCACTGTCGCGTGATACACGCTGCGGGAAAGGTTGATAGCCGACCGCCATTCATCATTCAAATGGATGGTAAGTTAATGTTGACTGTCAAATGCACAAACACGCACATAACCATACATTTTTCCCGCTATGTTATGCTATGCACACATTCCTGTGAACTCAGAATTGCAGTAATACGCTTTTGCAGGATACTGCACAAAGGAGGAATAAAATTTTACATAATTTTCAGTAACGCTTAATTCCCTGTTTGCAGTATTGTAAGGTTGATGAACCTACAACCTCCTAATTTCGCCTGGTGGATTTATAACCGAAAGCAATACACTGTTAAAATCATTTCTTTACTACTATGTATTTTCTCCATTTGTTGCTTAGGTCCTTATAGACCCAAATATATTGCGTAGAAAAACTGCTCAAGCAGATTACTGCTTGTATTGATGTGGCAGCAAAACACGTTTTCGTCAGAAAGCAATTTTAAATAAAGGGCATTTTTTGTTTATAATTTTTCTCAGTATGAGCGTTTTTCATACCATAAAATTCCCATTCGTAAAGTATCGCGTCTATGCGTTTATTACTGCAGATTGTGAAGCTTACAACATGGTCAACTTAAATTGCAAAGGTTCATGAGCCCTTTTTGGACGTTTGCTTGATAAAATACAGAAATGTATGACTTTCTTTACACAAGGAATATGTGCATAATCTTTGGGAACCCTGAATGCAATTTTAACGAGAAATCGAGTTCAAAATTATTTGGAAAATGACGAAGTTTTTAGATCTTACGATGCCATATTAGGCATGGAATTTAAACAAGGCGTGCTTTTCTAAATAATAAGTACAAGAAGGAATAATTCGCATTTTTAAGGTCATCTTAAATCAATCGGAAAAAAACGTAGCATTTAAGTAGAAATTTTACAGAGTTGAGTTGTTGCAGGCGGCCGGACATAAGTTCTTTGAAAAGCCGGCTTACCGACATGACAGGATTATTTTGGGATTGTGCTGCACAATAATTAAGTACTGTGACCTTCCTTAAGTATTCTTTTCTAACCAAAAACACATTTCAGAATTTGGGAAACACAGCCAGTGTACTTATATGTGCCAAATTATTCGTCCTTAGCCTTAATTATAGATTAAAGCTTGAATTAAATGTGCATGAGATAGGCCGGAGGTACGTTCTACTTCGAGGACTGGGAGAACCATATTGCGTTTAAATTGGGTTGCGGGAACTAAGAATCTTTTGTTTAAGCGCAAGCACAAATTACGTAGCTCGTTTTCATAATACGGGAAAACTTCCAGGAGGAAACTAAAATATAATACAGGCTGAAGAGTAAAGTAAAAATGCGAACACCGAACAAAGTAGACGATTTTTCTAATTCTAAATGAAAGAACCGGGAGGGAATTAATTCCAAGTAGCATAAAGATGGGGCTTAATTGAGAAGAGTATTGGCAGACGCAGTAACACGGGATTGTCGCACCCTAAAGATACGGTGAACTATTTAGTTACCGTTTATACTTCTGTCGCCACCGAGCACCCAGATTCTAAACATGTCTACCCATGAAAACAAGCGAACACACGTTAAGAACCCACTTCTTCTGCTAACTGTGTTTTCGAGTTCTTATTTATCGGGAACAAACGCAGATCTTTGGAGACCGAAGCCGGGTGGGGGGCAACAGCTTTACCCCAGTTCGCTGTCGCACTTCACTTAGACTAAATCTCGTCTCTGATTTGTTGGTGATTCTATTGTCACACATCTGAATTGTATGCTGTCTGATCAACATTCTCGGTTCTGGGTGATGTTGCGTATTACAACTCTTAGTAATTGAAGTGCCTCTGTAATCGGAAAGGGTCCATGCATGAACGCTGATTGGTAGGGCAGCCTTAGCAACACTAATAAGACATCCTCAAAAAATTCTAACATCTGCAAAGCTTTCATTAAATCTCTTCCTACACTTTTCTGTTCCCCCGAAGCTAACGAACCACCCAGCCTGGATACTAGTGTGCGCGGCGAGCAGCTGCTCGTTTATGCCCTACCCGACAGGCCAATCAAACTCCCCTGCCCGCATCCGAGGCTGCCGGATGAGCTGCGTGATTCGCCAATCATCACGGTGTGGGGTTTCATGAAGAAACTGGGCGAACAGCAACAATCCATCACAAACCTGCCTGTTGTTCATCTGACAGACGAGGACGCAACACTCAACATTGAGCGTTTCAAGCACGTGCATGCCAACTTCTATACCTGTGAGATTGGTTTTCCTGGTTCGGCTGATCGATACTTCTACGTCTTTCAAGTCTATATGGCAGG